GTTTTCATGTCACAAATTTCCAGTGTCCACCGGGTGGAGTTCCCCAAGATGGGGGGGGGGGGGGGGGCGTACTCATTTTGTTGCTTGCCGTAGTCATTTGACCATTGACCACGCGTCCCTTTCGAGACGGAGCACCGTTCCTACCCCTACTAGAGACACCACCAACATTTGGGAGCTCTTTACGTTTCTGCCACAAACTCCATAAAATTTTCTTGCACATCTTATCCCCGTCCTCTAGGGCCTCTTGTGCCCACCATCTATCCCCAATTATCGCGATCGTTTTTTCGCTGTTGTCTAATTTACCAAACTCGTCCATGTCACACCCTCTCTGTCTCATTTCCTCCTCGAGATCCTCTCTTTCCTTCCTGTACAACTCACACTCCCCAACTATGTGGGGTCTACTCTCCTCCGATTTGCCACATGGACATGTGTGTCTATCCTCCTCTTCCTCTCCCCTACGGCTGGTATACCTCTTCCTCCGTTCTGGCAAGTCCAGATCGCCTACTCGAAATTGCAATTTCAGCTTTTTCGCGTAGTCCATGGGGCCGTCCAAGTACGTCTTCATCCCTATCCCTTCTTTCAACTTCCCGTATATCTCCAAGTGGTCTTCGCTTCGTACCTTCTTCCGAAGGGTTGCCTCCTCCCTACTTTCTAGCATCTCCTTGACTTTCGTCTTGAACCCCCCGAACCCTTCCGTGTCCAACGTCTCCTCCTCGTCTCCTATCTCCTTCCAAACCTTCTCTACCACCTTGTCCCATCTGATTCTCTTCTTCCCTGGAGTCGCTTTTCCCCAAGCTGCCTTGTCAACCATGGCTGGTAGTCTATCGTCCGACATTCTGCTTACCTTGTACTGCCAATTCAACTTCTGCATGCCTCTCTTTGTTTTAAGAGAGTGCATTCCCAATTCTGCTCTCAACACAGTGTTGCTCGTTGTACTTGAACATCCTAGTATTTTCTTGGCCGCTGCCATCTGCACCGTTTCCAGCTGCTTGACGGCCTTTTCGTTACCTTCCCATACCTCTCCTGCATACTCTAGCTTAGGTACAATCACATTCAAGAGAATACACCTCTTAATCCTAGTGTCTAGGTGTGGGTCCGTAAGGATCTCGTCCATCTTGCCTATCTGAGCTTTACCCTTCCCAATCAACTTCGCTATGTGTGCGTCCCATGAGCACTCCTTCGAAATCTCTACTCCCACGTACGTATACTTGTCTACTACCGGTAGTTCTTCCTCCCCCCATTTCCATTTGAATTCTACGGGATTTTTCTTGTCTTCGTTACAGACCACTACTGCGCATTTTCCTACGTTCGCCGACAGTCTCCATTTTCGGGTGTATCCTACCGCCGCATCTATTTGTTCTTGCAACCCTTCTGGTGTTTCGGATACCCCCACGAAATCATCTGCAAACATCAGTCCGGACACACTATTTCCCCCTACTTGGACTCCCTGTCTTACTGCTTCAACCGCCCTTATCAAATCGTTGATGTAAATCTTAAATAGAGTGGGTGACATCGTACATCCCTGTGCGACTCCTTGGAGTATATCCACGTACTTCGAAATTTCCCCATCCAACATCACCGCACTACTTGTGCATTCTGTCATATTTTTCAACATCCTCTACATTTTCCCCCGGATCCCGATGTCCCACATCTTTTTCCACAATCCATTGCGCCATACGGTGTCGTAGGATTTTTGTACATCTAGGAAGAAACAGTATGTCGTACGCCCGGCGTCTTTTCTACCTTGGATAATTTTACTCAACGTATATACATGGTCTACACAACTACGATCTGGTCTAAATCCAGCTTGTCCTTCGCTGATCTTTCGTTTCCCCTCCAACATGTCTCCCATTCTATTGTCTATCATCTTGCCAAACAGTTTCCCCACTGTGCTCAGCAGGGTTATCCCTCTATAATTCCCCGGGTCAGCTTTATCCCCCTTTTTGAACAGGTTCACGACTACTCCTTCTCTCCATCTCTTCGGCGCGTACTCGTGTTTCCATATCCAGTTGAATATCCGGACCAACACGTCAATCATCCCCCCCCCCCCCTGTTTCAAAAGCTCATTCACAATTCCATCAGCCCCTGCCGCTTTTCTATTCCTGAGTTTCGCTACGCAGTCCTCTACCTCTTCTCGTGTGAACTCTCCCTGCAACCCGTCTATATCACTACGTTCCCTCCGAGATCTTTCAACGTTTTCCTCTGCCCACGAGTTGATTTCCTTCTCAAACTCCGAGTCGAAGTTGTCGTTGGTGGTGGGTGTCCTAAGTTTGCGGTAGTGCTCTACTAGTAGTTCCCTCTTTCCTTTAGAACTGCTTACCATCTTACCCTCGGCAGATCTTAGTGTCGTTATTTCCGTGTCTCCCCCTCTTTTCTTGCCCACTATCCCTTGAAGTCCTACCCATATTTGCTTCATCCCCCCCTCAAAATCTTCGTTAGTCTTTTGGACTACTTCCTCCCACAACCCTTTCTTCTTCTTCACGACCAACTCCTTCACCCTCTTTCTACTTTCAACATACTCCTTCCATCCTGCATCTGTTTTTCCTGCCGCATATTTTGCGTGTGACTCTCTACGTACTCGAATTGCTTGCTTGATTTCTTCGTCCCACCACTTCACTGCTCTCTTACAAACTACCAACTTTCTACCTAGAGGGGGGGGGGGGGGGGACTACACGCACATCGCTTGGGGAAGCAGAAAGTTTGCGTCCAAAAACAACATGAAAAAAAAAATGACAGGTACAGCGACACGTCGCATTTGAGTCGAAGGAAGCCACAACAGGAAGGGACCTACCGAAGATAAAGCCATCCAGATTCTGTCCCGCTGATGCGCGGACCAAATCGGTATGTGCATGATACTGATAGATGCACAGGGAGCCGGGGTTTGGTGACAATAAGCCGTACCTAGCAGCCCCCAACAGAGTGCACACGTATTGACAAGCCGTAGGAGGAACGAAGAAACAATACTTGCGGAGCACCAAAGCCCACTTGGATGGCAACAGCAGTGTTTTTGGTGACACCCTGAAAATGATTAATTTGCCATACCGGGAAAAAACTTGCAAAACATCCTGATCATCCTACATTGAAGGTTTGTAAACACGAGCGTACAGATCTATCTCGACGTGGTGCAAGCCCAACCCAAACCCACAAGCGTACAATCTATTTCTATTTAAACCGTTCTCGATGGCAGTAAATATTTCTTGTTCAGCACTCTTGAGCAAGCGTGCAAATCTATTTCTACATAAAACAGTTTTCGATGGCAGTAAATCTTCCCTGTCCGGCACTCTTAAGCACCATGTCTCACTCGGGAAGTATCCCTGACAGCAGACGTAGTTGGCGAGGTTACCGTCGAGGGCCCTCTTCCTGACGATGAACTGCGCGCAGCACATGCACAGGCAGCCGAAGGTACACCCTGTCCCAATGGAAAAGAAAAGAAGGTCACGTGAGGGAGGGAGCTAGGTCAAGAGCGGGGTAAGTAGCCTTTTAGTCGTTCGACCATTAACCGTTGATCATGGAGCTCATACAAGAAGACTCATCACCGTTCCAATCCCTAACAAAGAAACCTCGAACAGTGCTCTGTACGTTTCTCCACCGAAATCTCTCATATGATGCACAGGAATTTCATGCATTGATCCTGTCCCTCCCGTCCCTGTTTAGCATCTTGTGGCCAACATCTATCCAGTACACTATTAATATTATATAATAAGCGATCGCTATATCCCAACAATCAAACCACCCATTCATTCCTTTGTGTGATCATTCCCTCCATCCATCCATTAGATCACTTATCCGTTTTCGGAAAGCTGTCTCTCGATGAGACGGTTTCACCGCCGCCATTTTCGGCACCGTGACGGTTTCTGCTTGCAGGGTCCTCGAGCTCTGAAAATCAGCCCAGGAGGCGTGTGGTGCTACAACCTACGGCATCATCAACCTTCACCATCGCCAGCAAACCGAAACAACTCACAGGGGCAGTTCTTGCACGGTGCCTCCATCATGCCGATCTGGAACTTGTTGGGGTTTTCGTAGTAGGCGTCGAGCTTCGAGCCCGGCACGGGCTCATCGTTCACGCAGATCAAACAGCACGCCTGTCCAAAAAAAATAAAAACGAGAACGCGTCGGACGCGCCCCGGGGGGGAAGGGTATGGGTGTTGAGTGAGTAATGTAGCACAAGAAAAAAGTTGCCGTGTTCACAACGGCGGGGCGGATTTGTGCGGGGCTGCCTGCACTGCCTGCACAAAGAAAGTAAGTTTCTACGTTACGAAACAAGAACAAGGCAGGGGGCGCGCAGACCCTAAGCCTAACCCTAACCTCAGTTTAGCAGATTCTATTTTTAATCCAATACGTTAGCTTACTTAGAGAAACCTGCGTAGTCTACCGTTTGTGGGAAAAATCTCTGGCACGTTGGTGTGCATTCGCGCGCCAAGTATTATCGGATAGGATAGGATCTGAACGGTAGTTCTAGGGAAAGTTTAACGGCGTAAAGCCGGGAGCTGAAACTCCCTAGGATAGACATATCAGTCAGGAGGTGAGTCGCAACAGCCCTTGTCTGCGGAAGGCGACGGCCCTTTTCGTTCAGTCTACCAGACGTAGCCAAGGTAACAGCAAGCCCTGCTGTTCTCAACAACTGAGCCATCAGGGTCTTCAGGGATCGACACGCGTGTAAGCCTCACGACACATGGAGGAATTTTCAATAGAGCCTCCCGGAACCACGGCGGAGAGACCAAACTCTTCCTCCTCTCTGGAGATACGCCAACTCTTCAGCTAGAAGATAGAGTGAGAGAACGGGTCGACTTAGACGACAGATAGTCCAACTCTTGAATCTACAGAGGCTGCTGCCATAGTTTCCCTTGCAGTGCTGCAATGAGTGCAATTGTACTAATGGGTGCAATTGTACTCTCAACTGCTGCGATGGGCTCACCATCTCTTAGCTCCTGTCCAAGCTCCGCTGCTGTTGGTGCTCCGCTCCCCCGTGCTTTCGCTCCAGTATGCCTAACCCCGCGTCCGGGGCTACTGCAGTCCCAACATGACAACAAGGTGACCATAGTTAAGCATGAAGCCCTCGTGTACCGGTACTACAACAGGTGGCGACACCAAACATGCAGAACACAGGTGTCGGGGTAGTCGCAGTGATCGGAGTCATCGCAAAGGGGTGCGACAAAATGTCAACAAGCGCAAAATACCCTGTATCCGTCCTTCAACGCCGTAGGCAAATCCTATATTGCAGCAGGCAGAGGAACACAAACAGTGGATACCCCGGCTTGACCAATGAACGTTCAGCGCTGCTGTGCACTTTTTTCGAGGTGCACCGATCCCTCCGCTACATGCATCTAGCATTCAGTGAATCGAATCTGCTGCTCGCAGGGAGCGAAAGGAAGCGCGGTAGGAGTGAAATCTGGTTTTGCACATTCTCGACTGCTGTGTGCGTGTGTCACTATTATTAGCATCGGCCGCGCTAACCGGTTGACCAATGAAAAAACGTCAGTCTCAGTGCGGTTGAAAACACAAAACACTTCTAAATGCCATGAACTGGGACCCCGTGAGGGGGCGTCATGGGGGAGGCTAAGCTATTCTCCGGATTTTAAGACAGAAACTGTCTACCAAAGCTGCTACCTTGAGCTCGAGTTCGTTTTGGAGTGCTTTCACCACCATCCTCCTGACCTTCAACATCACTATCATCGTCATTAATACAGCTGCTTTGCGGCAGTTCTCCTCTAGCTCTGCGTCATTTATTGTGAGGAAGGTCATCTGGCTCGAAGTTCTTGCTCTCTTCCACTCCATGCTTCCCTTCTCCATTGCTGATTTGGACGTTCCCTTGTCCTCCCGTTCCCTTTCTTCCTCTTTCGTCGCTACCAAATGAAGCCAACCATCGTCGCCTTTGTCCCCACTACTGAAGTTCCAACTTATTGGCTTTGGTGGAATTTGGTCAATCAGTAACCCATGGTGTTTGAACACGTCGCGAGTTCGTACTGACAAAAGCGAGCGAGCTAGCTCGAAGGTGAACCACCAGAATCCGAATTATGATGGTGCTGTGGAAGCCTGGAGGCGAAGAAAGGCAAGACAGGCTCATCATCAAAATTTCCTTTGCAGAATTCTTCGTGGGCCAGATGGGGCGGTAGCTACGATTTACGATTAACCGATTTGTGTCTTTGCCAAGGCCACCATAGGTTGAAAACGCAGCATAAGGAGGGTAGATCTAGACGGGTTGAAAATTCCCGCGTAGTGTTTTTTCCTCACTTGCTGCTCTATCTTAGAGGGTGGACCGTGGTGTTAGAATCGATTTTTCAGTGCTCCTACTTGCACATGGCGGTCGACCCATCTGCAAGTCGAAGCATTGAAAAATCGATTCTACTGTAGCACCATGATCCGCCCTCGAAGATAGAGCAGCAAGTAAGGTAAACCGCTGTGCGGGAACTTTCAACCCGTCTAGATCTACCCTCCTTCTTTTGCAACGTATGGTGGCCTTTGCAATGTCACAAATCAGGTAATGGTAGCTACCGCCACCCATCCACGAGGAATTCGCACGGAAAACTTTGGATGAGACAGCCTTGCTGCGCCTCAAGGCTTACGATAATACCAACAGAATTCAGGGGCGGTTCACCTTCGAGCTAGCTCGCTTTCTCTCAGTACAAACTCGCGACGTGTTCAAACGCAATGGGGTACTGATTGACCAAATTCCACCAAATCCAATAGGAAGTAGACCCGTGTGTATGTGTTTCTTATGAGCATCGACCTCGCTAGCTGGTTGACCAATGGAAAGACGTCAGTCTCAGTGCCGTTGAAATGTGTGTGTGTATTTATTAGCATCGACCGCCCTAACCGGTTGACCAATGAAAATACGTGTGTGTGTGTGTGTATTTATTAGCATCGACCGCCCTAACGGGCTGACCAATGAAAATACGTCAGTCTCAGTGCGGTTAACAGCACAAAACACTCCTATGTGAGTGTATGTCCGTCTCATCTCTGCCGGCGCCGGTTTACAGGCCTTTCGGCGTATGTATATATTTGACGTATCAGCCGGGGTCACAAAAGAGGAGGGTCACACAGGAAATCTCTTCACTTTTTTTGGTTTTTTTTCCTTATACAAATATGACACTACGAATTCATCTCTATCTTTAGAAAAAGAGCATAAGATAGACTAGCAATGAATTCCATATGGAGCGTCGGCGGAGGCTACTCGTATTTCCACGATTTCCCCAGCAGCACATAGCGATATCTCCCCTGTGGGTAACAGGCTCAGTTTGGTAGCCATCTTGCGCATCTCTCTGTCTGTATGTTATGGTCGGAAGGTGTAGGAGGAAGGTGTTGGGTAAGTTGGTTCGTCGGGTGTGCTTTTTATTTTGTCTTACTGCCCCACCTTTACCAATCTGATTGGTTGATACACTTGCGTTTTGTAGATGTTGGGCGGGGGTGGCGTCGTGTAACCCTGTTCGCATACATACTCCCTCCAGGTTCTTGCCTTTGAACTAAAAATCAATTTTTCCATACACAAGTCGAGAGCTCTTGTATGCATGTGTTGTTGATGTCTTAGCGGTGCAAACGAAAGAGGATTTAATAATCGAATGTACTATTTTAAGTGTAAATATCGTACTTTCAAAGGGCACGTCACGAATGAATCACGAATCACGGATCACGCTACGACACAAGGTTCAGGTTGAGATACCACCAACACCTCAGGACCGATTTGCAGACCTCGAGCACTCTGCAGCGGAGACAGCAGTTACGGTACCGAGTGCCGAAACGGCAGCAACGGAACCCTCTCGTCGAGCTTTCCGAACGTGTAATTTGACAGCTGTGGCATCTTCTCTGCTTCATCAGTGGGCAATGGGAAATCGAGAGCCTTGACTCGGTTCGGGGGGGAGTGGTATCTTATGCAAAACATTCGATACCTCCTACCCAGCAGGGGGCAAACTTCGGCAAATGGTACAGCAGCTCAATGCGATTCTACACACGGGCAAGCCTCACCTGTTTGCTTGCCCTCTCTCGATATTCCCCTATCTATCCTCTCCGCTGCTCCTGGGCGGACAGCGCGGGCGGACAGGCGGACAAGCGGCGGGACAATGACGGAAGGCGGAACCAAAACCAACATGCTTTTGGCGAAAAAAAATATGGCGTCACACCGCCTGATGCTTGCTGGCCTCTGTCGGCCCCCCATGAGATTGAGACAATTGCGACAACGGAGACTGCGCTGTGCCTGGCGATACGAGTACACCGCCCTAACCACAGATAGCGAGACTATGTTGCGACCCGCTGTCAGCACCCTATCGGGAAGGAGTGTTGCTGCTGCCGTTTCCCGACGCTCGTTTCCTGGAGTATGCGCTGCTGGTGATCGGTTAGAGAGGAGTAGGACCGCGGGGAGTGGAGGGGTTGTTGGCTGCAGACGCGGGATGATGATGGCAGCCAAGCCAGGCAAGATCAAGAAGGAGCGGTCGGGGAAGGCCCTGGACAAGAAGACCATGACTCTCCTGAAGCTGCTTGATGCACGACCTGAGCCAATGTGAGAGGTTCTACACGTGGGTAGAGTAGGTGTGTGGTTTGGACCAGCAAAGGTTTTTTTCCAGGAGAGGAGGATGGACAGAACTCTTACATACTCTTTGCATCAACCTCACCTCTTCACCTCTCACAATGGCGCTCACACCCTTCACGCGCCGTCTGTACACACCAAGGCTCCATCGGTTCATGTGTACATTGTACTGCTGTCTCCCTGCCCTCCCCTAGCGTCCCATGCTTGTGTTTTGGGAAATGGCTTGTCCGTGCATTGTTTGCACCTGGTTGCCACACCCCGAACCATGTGGATACCGCTGCTGGGGCAAGCAAGCCACAGCCGTCGGGCAGGCTCAAGTTCTTGCTGTTGTTGCTAGATGTGACCTTCTTGCCGCTGAGAATCTCTGATTGCGTTGCAGTCGGCTCCCAATTCATCGTAAAACGGCGGTGCCGTTTTGTATGTTCGATGAGGCGCAAACTGGAGCGTGCGGTGGCAACATTGAGCACTCAACACCTCCAAAACCTGCAGTGGTACCTCTAAGTCTACACGGAAGCAGCAGCAGCTTTGCGGCAGCAGCTCTGGTGCTGTGTCTATCAGAGGACCAGATTGCTCGCTTGGTGCGTTTGAGTTTCGGCAGAGGAACGGTGCGTGCGTGTTGTATCAATCAACACAGCAGCAGTCACTCTGTTGAGCACGATTGGTTTCTTTGTCCTGGACCTCGAGAAAGTTTTCGTTGCTCGCAAACAGCGGCAACGCTCGGGCGAGACTAGATGTACACATATGTAGCAAGCATGCTTTTGGTCCCTTGTACAAAACCGTAACTTGCAGGTCCCGTAGGTGGGCCCCTTACAAACGTGCTGCGTTCGCCGGCGGTAGGGTAGCGCATACCCCCCCCCTCCAAGATAGACAACTCAACTAACGCCCGAAGCAAACCGCCGCCGTTGCTGCAACTCCCAACCCCCCCAACCTCCCCCCCCCCGCGCGCGCGCTGGCGCTTGGGCATCGCATATACCAGGCCGGAACTCTCGGCGGAAGAAAAGCAGCGAAATTTCGACATCGGGCGGCGATACAATAGCAAGATGGCCACGAGCCACAACGAGAGGATGGCTGACCTGACAACCAAGATCAAGCTGAGGGACGACGCGATCGCGCACCTGCCGGAGCTACTGCAGCACGCGGCGAGACAGCCGGACAGGAACCCGCCGCCGCTGAACCGGAGGGTGGCCACCTACACCCCGCCCATCCCCGGGTTCGACAAGAAGGACTACGGCCTCTCGGACGACGAGGACGCGGATGCGCAGCTGAATCGCTTCCGGGATGGTTACTGAGTGGTTTGGCCTTTTTTGTTCATTTATGTCCCTCCGTGTACTGTAGTCGCTGCTTGCTTTTTGGGTGGAGAGAAGTCTACAGCAGTAGTCGCTCGGATTGGCTTTGGCTCGGCGCAGCCACGGGATGGATTCCCACCACAGATGAGCCAAAGAGCGTCCACCCTGGAGGGAAATGATGCGGAATTAGAGGCACACGTGGGACCGGCTCTCAGGGAGGAGCATCGCATTTTGCAGGCGCTTCGGGAACGGTGCGGCATTGCTTGCAAGAGAGCGTTATCCGCTCTCCTGGGATTAGAAGAAACGGGATCGCTTTTCTAAGCCGGGGGTTCGTCGCCCGCTGCAAGTGTCTTGAGTTGTGCTGCCTTGTTGCTGTTGTGGGACGACGTTGTGTTCGGACAACAAAATCTCCAGCGCCCGACGTTTGGCTGCTGTGATGGACAAGCGGATGGGCATTCTGTGCGTGCCCCTATCTTGGCGTCGCGAGAAAGTGCCGCCCACAATCAAACCTCAAGTTTCGAGTGAGTGCACATATTTTCATATTTTCGACGGATTGGTACATCCCCGTTCGTTTTTCCCTGCTCAATGGAATGTTGGTGTAGAAGAAAGTTGTATGCTCAGTTTGTATGCTCCGCCTCTCGCTTTTTTCTTGCCCATCGTTTGCATCGAAAAAAGAAGATATATACATGTATGCATTCTTTGGAGGGCCCTACTGCTGTGCTCTCGATGACGCTTGCGAGGGAAGACAAACGCGACAGCATGCGGGGTTCTTGCGCGGACACCGACTTCCCCACAAGGTCTACGGACAGCTGAGGTTTACCCGCAGGGAAGCCTCAGCTGCCGGTGGACCTTGTGGAACAGTGGGCTGCTATGTACGTATCGGCGCCATGCTGTCATCCGGGGTCCAATCACCTAAGTGGGAGATTTGTGAAGTATCCGCCCGGAGCGGGTGCTTGCTGAACAGGTAGCTCACCCATAGATGAACAGGGAAATCGGCAGCGGCAAACATGTGCCGCGTTCTGCGGTTCGATGAACTTCAAGCAGGAGGCAACTCAGGGTCTTCAGAGAGAACATGGATCCTGCCACGTTCTCTGTTGCAAACTGTTGAGTTGCCCACCTGTGTGCCCCGAGTGTCAAGAGGAAAAATGAGGAAATTTTGCTCGTGGGGGAACACCAGCCAACACTCCTTCCGGGCCTCTGAGAGAGTGAGTGTGTGGGCCACGCGGAAGCTTATTCGACCGTCCACGCCAACGTATTCAGGAAATCAACTGCAACCCAGCCATCATGGGTACCTCCCAGTGGCCTCCGATTTGGCAACACATACATGTCGTCTCTCCCATCGCATACCGTGCGAATGAACATGCCCGAGTTGGCGGTTGTGTCATACTGCAGGGCGCGAATTCCACAATCTGCGAGGTCGGGACGCCGCAAGCTATTCACTGCACACGGTACGCTCCGTAAAAAACGGAAGCACTACACTCCCCCCTCTAAACGGACGGTTATTTAGTCAGCGGCGGCGGCCTCCACTTCCATGGCAGGAGAGGAGTTGTCGTCTGCCGGGGCCGCGGTCTTTACGCCCCCGCCGTCCGCATCATCCACGCCTCCTCCCACGGTACTGGAGAAATTGAGCGGGGTGCACTCCAGCGACTCGAGATTCAACAGCGCCGCCTGCCCCGTCGCCGCGAACGCTGGTACGCAGACCACCCTCCCCTGCGTCGTACGGTGGTAACGTGGCCGTTTGATGACAAGAGATCGACCACATGCCGAGTCCGTGTTCCGTCGGGGGGGGGGGGGGGGGGGGGGGGGGGGAAAGGGGGGGGG